GGACGCTGGGCCCCCGGCCTGTGGCGGGCCTGCAACGGGCTCATGGCCGCCTTCTTCGCGCTGGCGGCCTTGGTGCAGGTCAGCGCCCCGGCTCCCGGCGGCGGGCGGGTTCCCGGCACGCGGTGTGGACTGACGGGGCCGCAGGGTCGGGGGTCACGCCCCAGAGCCCCCGCCCCTGTCCCAGCGGAAAGCCAGGCGCGTTCCCGTGATCGCCCGCCCGCGTCCCGGAGAGGGGACCCAGCGCGGTTGAGGGCCCGGGAGAACCGTCTGGGGCGCGGGTACCCCTCAGGTCTGCCTTGGGACCCCCGATAAGGGCTTTCCTTATTCCTCAGACGGGGGCGCCCACAACACCGGTACTGTGTGCGCAGTGTGTGCGGCCCCCTTGTGGCGCTCAGCCAGAAGCCCCTGCGACCCCGCCCTCCGCTAGACTCTGTCCCCGCCGCCTGGCGCCGCGCCTGGCACCTAACAGGACTGGACGCATCGAGGAGCAGACCAGATACGGGAGTGGGGCACGGGCCGCGCCTGCTAATGCCACACGTCCTGTCTTTCCAGGTGAACGATCCAGATGCAGAACTGTGGATGGTGAGTAAAAGCTGCTTCCTGCGTCCCAAAGAACCGTGGAGCCGTGCACGAAACACACAGGCTTGTTACCCATTTGGTCGCCCCTCCCGGCTCCATGTGCGGAAAAACCCAGAAATAAATTCTTTGTAAGCTCTTTTTCCTAAAGTGTCAGAGGGGAAGGGATCAGGGTAGTAATGTGTATGGGGAAGAGAACACAGAATTTTCCAGACACAGGGGTCCTTAGGGCAGTATTCCCTTTGCATAAAAATGGGCCAACTGAGGTCACTTTTCTGAAGACACAGAGTAGACCTCCCAAGGTCAACTGAACCATTCCCCGTGAGTTTCTACCCAGACCCTCCAACAAACATTTGACCAGAAAATGGCAGGCTTAGGGTCCGTGGTTCCTCTAATTCAGTGAGTTATATTTATAAAGAGTAATCCGAGCCCATAAAATCTACAGGATACATCTAACCAATGCTCTGGCTGAACTGTTCGGAGGAGGGAGAGATCGTCCACACGTTTCCTGAAATGTCTGGATCTTGCCCAGTTTCTTTCAAAACGGATACGCAAGACTGCAGTATCGCCAGCCAAGATGACTTTTGGCTTTGGAAGAATATTAGCAACAAATGAAAGTGTTTGGATTTGTAATGTGAAATCCCAGCCAGTCTTTTTAGTGCAGTGGAACTCCTTCTGATAGTGCTTATTGTCCAGATTCACATGCTCTCACATCAAATCAAACTGCCTCTTCCTCAGCACGCGGGGCCATGTCCTGAGTTCCAAATATTATTTCCCTGCAGGCGACTCTCCAACACCCAGCTTAATGGTGAATTTCCAAAAGACTGCTAGATCTTTCCACCTGTATATCACAACAGCTCCTCAAACACCCCAAGGTCCTGCCCAGCATCTTTCCCTACAAAGCCCCCTCCTCCTCCTGACTCACCCATTTCTATCAACAGCTGAATCATCCTCCGGGTCATCCTTGCTCCAAACCACATCTCAGTGCCTTACTACCACCTTTGAGAGCCTTTCAGAAAACAAAACGAAGAACAAAGCAATCCAACAGCGCCCCGTGTAGGTCTGACCACTTATCTGTACAGTCTGTATGTCACCTCTCACTTCACGCTTAGACGACATAACACCGACAGACAGCATGTCCCCGCAGACAGCCCTCCTTGCCAGGTTAGCCCTCCATCACCCCACGTGGACTCCTGTAATAGCTTCCCAATTCTTGGAGCTGCCTCTGATCTCTTCCGCTTCCCACGTATCGCTTCCTGCTTCAGAAACTTCCCTCGTTCCCCAAGATCCCTGAGTTACAACTCCCCAGGTTGGCACTCAACGCCCACCGCAGGATGGCTCCAACCCACCTTCCCAGCCTGGTCTTGGAAGACCGATCCACCTGTAACACTCACTGTGCCTTGCCCCTGGGATTTCTGCATGTCGTGCTCAAGCTTCAAAGTCTATCTCAAATGCTACGTCACTCAAATCTCTCTCCCTCTTTCCCATAGGTTCTAACCGTCCTTCCTTCAAACCTTTAACACTAACGCATTCTGCTTTACATTTGAGTTGGTTCAGTACATGCCAGCTCCCAGGAGAACAGGGACCACTTACTCCTTCTTCTCGGTATTCCTCAGGCAACCTAACAGAGCCTTCCTATGGCAGTCCTTCTGTATTGACCACTGAGTGAAAGCAAGAATGAATGGATGCAAACAGGACCCAGTACTACGTCACTGGGCCTTGGGGGCTTGTACCTCACGCCTGACTCACTTCCACGTCCCCTACTTCATCTCGTTCACGGAGGACTCCTGTATCAGGATGCATATAGGAGCAGATAACAGAACATCTGCCTAGCATCAGGTTATAAGAGTAGAGTATCTCACTTAACAAGAAGTCCAGAGGGAGCTGCTTAGCGGCCAACAACGTGATCAAAGACCCGGGCTCCCTTACTTCTCTGCCATCTCCAGTGTGTGGGTGATATATTCTCTCATGTTCACAGAATGGCTGCTGCCGCTCCAGACATCATCCCCAGACAAGGGCATCCCCAATAGGAAGAAGTAAGGCAGGAGCAAAATGATTTTTCCTCCTGTGCTTTCTTCCCTTTTATTGGGGAGGAAATGTTTCCCAGGAAGCCCTTCAGACAGGCTGCTAGTCACTGTGTGCATACCAACTTGGTTTATGGTCTGGGATCCATTCTGCTCGGTCAGCATCCGGGCATTATTGGTTGTTAAATGCTCTGGGTATCAGCCTTGCCCCTACAAGACTTCTTACTACATTTCGTGGCGGGAGCATGATCACCCTAGCTGAAGAGGTTGGGAATATAAATTGGCCTTTTTGGCTTTCATAATGGCAGGTGGGCAAGGGAGAGAGACACTAAGAACGAATGCCATGGGGCAGAAATTACACACGTAATTTTCTCTCTCTTTGCTAACAGGTGGTGTACATGATCCCTGCTGTGCTGACCTTGCTTGTTGGACTTAACCCCCTTGTCACGGGTACGAACCCTGGATTCTGCAGGGAGATACAGCAGATCAGACTTCTTATAATAATGACAGACTCCCAGGAGAAACACGGGGCTGTCCAGGTCTTCTCGTTTCTGATGATGAGAGGGGCTAATTCTAATCTAGGTCACCCACACCATCTGCAGGCAAGTGTCACAAGGACCTGCCATACCAAGACCGTCTTTTACCAACTCGGAACCCAAGATCGCTTATGCTCGTGGGCAACAGTGGTTCTGCGGCTTAGCCCGTGAGAGAGAAGGGCGTCAGTCACCGCGCCGATTTCTAAAGCCACCAAGCTGATAGAAAATCAGCAACAAAGTGCTAACCTGGTATCTCCAGAGTCGGTGGCAACCAGTGTCTATTATATGTTTACTCTTCATCAATATATGGCCGGCTACTCTATGTAGAGAAACGGTTTATAACATCCATACAAATGTCTACGTTTTGCATTAATACGTATCACCCCCCCAGCCTCCCTCTGTCCTGTCGTAGTACCTACGACAATTTATTTCATGCTTTTTTATGTTTTCCCCCCACTAGGCTGTACGCCCCTTAAAAGTCGGACCATGTCTAGCCCATCTTTGCCCAAGCCCCGCTGAAATAAGGCCACGAATACGGTTTGGTACTTAATGCTTGCTGAGTGAATGGATGGCTGTAACACAGAGGCTTTATCATACATTTTATAAACTGCTCCTTGGAATGAAAAAAAATATATATGTATACACACACATGTATATACGTATATTTTTTTTTCATTTCACATACATATATAAAATCTGCCAGGTGGATATACATATAAAGAAATTCCCTTAAAATATCAGGTCTATGTTGCCCACAAGCTACCTACTTCGATGCGGCAAAACATAGTCGCTTCACCTTTTACAGCCCCCAAAACTCAACGAACCTTGAGGTGGACAGTTTTATACCATAAAACCGTGTCTCATAACAAAAAAGAAATTACATTTTACTGTGTTTACTAACATTTTCTTATTAACAGGGACTGTTGGTCCTGATGGGTTATTCTTCACTGTCGTGAAAACAGCTCCTTTGCCAGTGAGTCCTCAGAGTTCTCAGGGCCTTAGAATAAAGACCAGTGGCTCCCAGCTGGATGGGGAAAACTCGTGTCCCCTAGATGCACGCGCTCCTCGTACAGGCGCCGGGAACTCTTGTCCGCATCTTTAAGGTGCAGTGGTTTGGGCTCCATTAGTTGCCGGCAAGGAGAACACTGAACTCAAACGGGCTGTGAGCCCGAATGGAGACGTACTGGGGTACGTGATTGAAAGAAACGCAGGGTGGTGCTCGCTTCAGGCACTGGCTCAGAGCTCTCGGCACCTCTCTGTTCCACCATGTGCCGATGGACTTCAGTCCAGGGCCCCTCGTGGTAGCCCGGCAGGTCAAAGTTCACTTCTTCCTGCCCGCTCAGTCCAACAGAAGATAGGATCTGCTTCCCCGATATCTCCACCGACGTCTCAGAATTGAGTTGTCGGCCCTGATTTGTCAGCTGTTCTTCTGGAGCCAAATCACCACCGCTAAAGGGATGAAATGCACTGAATAATCAAGCTAAGGTCCAGTTGTCTGGGACACACGGCCGGGGGGGTGTGGGAAGGGCAGACCCCCCAAAGAAAATGAGGGTAGTCATCATAGAAAGGGCACATGTCCACTTAAGCTGATTATTACTGCTTTAACCTCTATGACATTCCTCAAAAGAAAACTTAAAGAAACCCCAGCTTTTTTTTTTTTTTTTTTAAAGTAAGCTCCACTCCCAACGTGGGGCTCGAACTCAGGACCCTGAGATCAAGAGTCACATGCTCCACCCACTGAGCCAGCCAGGCACCACCCCAGGCTTTTCTGAACGCTTTACCTGAAAGACTATGGCAGAGCAGATACAGAGAGGTCATGTTTCTCTGGGATGTGATTCCATGACTGACCGTGTCAGAATATCTATTTTCAGGCAACATCATTTGGAAGAGTATCTCTGCTATACACACATTCCTGTGTATTGTGTGGGCTGTCAGCTTGGCGGGCCACCTCTGGCTTCATTCACAACAGAACGTCTTACATGAGGAAGAAGGCAGGTGAGCAGTGACTTTTGCTCTTTGGAAGGGGTGGGGTAGAACTGAGAAAGCTCCTGGTCCTCCGCAACCCCTGATCTGCACCACGATGACTCAGCTCCCTCAGCCACACCATCAGGAGCAGGGAAGGTATCACCTCCTTGAGAGGAGCCTGGAGAAGCTGAAGGAATGATGGAGCCAGGATTCACACCCAGCATTGTGCACCACATCCCGCAATCACTGCTAGAGGCGGTCAGCACATAGGTTAGGCAGTTGACCTCGGCTCCCTTATAATGAACGAGCCAAGGAAGCCGTACAGTTAAGAGTCTGGTCGAACAAGGCGAAAACTCCATCAGCATTCTGATTTAGTTGTGGTTCTGGCCAAAATCTTACCTACAAGCGTGAGCAGCCACCTCAGAGGTCAGTATTTTAAGTCAACGTCTGTCAGCCTTGCCCTGCTAAGTCTCCTGTCATCTCCCCCCTTTGTCAAGGCCATCTGATCCGAACTTATCACCTCTTCCTTTGCTTCCTCCCACCCTTGACTCCTTGGCTTGTTGCATAGCCCCCTTCCCTTCCTGTCCATCCTAATGCTAACACCAAGAGTTAGAGACCTAGAAGTTACTCGTCCCTGGCAGGGTGCTTCTTTGCCATAGGCCTTAATCCCTGGAAAACCAGAGAGCAAATCAGGTTGGGCTGAATCACCTCCACCAACTTCAGGCCCATGAGTTACTTCCAGTAACTTCCGGAGTTACTTCTGGCTTCCAGTGGTACCATGGCCAGCTTTGACTGTCTTCTACTCTATGTAAAAGATGCTTTTAAGGCATATTTCTAGAAGCATCTACCCATCCCAAAATCATTAGTTGCCTCATACTAGAAATCATTCCTCTCCTCTAAGACGTGACCCATGCTCCTGCTGCACGTGCCTAATTATTTATTGATTTGAGTTCATCTTACCTAACATTGATCCCTCTAACACAGTGGTAAATTGGTGCCTGTATGATCGATCTAGGATCGTTTCCCTGCTTGTACTCTAATCCTCCCCGTGACCTGAAGTGATTTCTGTGTTGTGCTGTTGTTCACTTAGAAGCTGAGGAGCAGTGATGGAGCTCACACCTGCCTCGTAAGACGAAACCTGTGTTCATATAAGGCTTTAAATTGTCTGAAAGAAGTAACTTATGACTCATGGCCAGACTTGAAAACATTCTGTAGATGCTACGTATCTTGGGGGAAGGTCATCTAATAGCAGCAGCTGGTGGTCACAGAGAGAAAGGGACGATTCGCAGGTCATTTGCAGCTACTTCAAATATCTGAAATGTATGCTGTTTTATAGGGAACTGTTTGGTCTGGTGATTATCACAGCATGGATGAGCCTATGTCACAGTTCATCAAAGTAAGTTTTCAACTCGTTAGCTAAAATCAGATGTCTTGAGGATGCCCAGGTGTCTCAGTCGGTGGAGGGTCTGACTCTCAATTTCGGCTCAGGTCATGATTTCTTTTTTTTTTTTTTTTTTTTAATTTTTTTTCAACGTTTTTTATTTATTTTTGGGACAGAGAGAGACAGAGCATGAACGGGGGGGCAGAGAGAGAGGGAGACACAGAATTGAAACAGGCTTGTGTTTTGTTTCATCAGCCCAGAGCTCGACAGGGGTCGAACTCACGGACCGTGTGAGATCAGACTCCAAGCCAGGGTCATGATTTCATGGTTCGTGGGATCAAGCCCCGCATCAGGCTCTGTGCTGACAGTGTGAAGCCTGCTTAGGATTCTCTCTCTCCCTCTTTTCCCCTCCCCCACTCGTGCACCCTCTCTCTCTCTCAAAATAGATTAACTTTTAAAAAATGAACAAATCACTTCAAAAATATAAACTAGCAAAACTGACACGAGAAGAAATACTCCAGGACAATTCCATAACTATTAAAGAAACTCTAGACCAGATGCCCTAACTGGAGAATTCTACCTAATATTTAAGGAAAAAATAATGTCAGCCTTTAACAAACTCCCAGAGAACAAAAAAAGATGAAACACTTTACAATTCATGTTATGAGGACAGAATAACCTTGATACCAAAACTTAGCAAGAACATTAAAAAAAAGAGAGAGAGAAGAAAAGAAATTACCCAGCAGCCTCACTCACGACCACAGATTAGAAAATCCTAAATAAAGCAGCAGTAAATAAAATCCTGCAATATGTCACCCAACCACCCTCTTGGGTCCATTCTATGAACACGGTTTAACATTCAAAAACCAACCAGTGTTCTCTATCATGTTAAAAGAATAAATAAGCTCTCTTCTCAATCTATACAGAAAGGATACCTGGTAAAATTCACCATCCGTCCACAAGACGTCTTAGGAAACAGGTGTAGAAAGGAACTAAAGCTGACCAATGGGATCTACACCAAAGCCTGATACTCAGTGGCCAGCGGTTGCAAACTTGCCTTCTGAGATCAGGAAAAGGTGAGGTTAGCCACCATTACCACTTCCGCTCAACACTGTTCAAGCTAGTATCGTAGCCAGTCCGATAAGGCAAGAAAAAAATTAGAGGCACAACGACTAGAAAAGAAAAACGTTCGCTATCCGTGGGTAACGTGATTGTGTACACAAAAAAATCAAAAAGAACCTGAAAAGTTATTAGAGTGAGTTTATTAGCATGATTTCTGCCCACTAGGTGAATGTACTCAAATCAACAAGTCGCGGAAAATGGTGAAAACAAAGTTAACCATAAATAAGAACATCGAGAAATCAACTCCCTAGGAATAAATCTAGAAAGAGATAGGCAAAAGCTCTACAAATAAATCGACAAAACACTGTGGGAGAGATTAAAGAAGACCTAAACAAGTGGAGGGATAAACCTGTACTGGGAAAAGGGTAAAACTAATGAAAATCTAGAAACAGGTCCATCCACGCACAGGTAGACCCTTGACTCCTGACCACGTGGCAGTACAGGTGCAGCAAAGAAAGGCAGACTTCTCAGCAAGTCCTGCTGGATCAACGGAATACCCATGTGGCCGAACTTTCCCCACCTGACTTTCATAAACAGCCGTTCCAGGTGGATTACAGATCTAATGTGAGAAACAAAACAGCCTTTTAGAGAAGATAACCCCAAATCCTCCCCAAGACCTTGGGGAGGAAAAGTTTTCTTAAACAGGATACAGAAATCATTAGGAAAAGATCAATTGTCACACTGCCTAATTAATCAGTGACTTCAGTTCCTCAAAAGACATCATTATAGGAGTGGGTAAAGCTATTTGCAACATATATAAACAACAAAGATGTGCACTAAGAATAAAGAACTCCTGGGGCGCCTGGGTGGCTCAGTTGGTTAAGCGTCCAACTTCGGCTCAGGTCATGACCTCACGGTTGGTGGGTTTGAGCCCAACCTGGGGCTCTGTGGTGACAGCTCAGCCTGGAGCCTGCTATGTCTCTCTCTCTGTCCCTCCACACCTCATGCTCTCTCTCTCAAAAATAAATAGACATTTTATAAAAGGCAAAAAATAAAAAAAAGAACTCCCACAAATCAATAAGCTATATTCCAATAAAAATTAAGAAAAAGTCCTATAAAAATGTGTTCACCAAATTCAACCTTTATATTTGTTTCCAAAGCAATCCATAAATGTTATTGGATTTTTACTGATAATCATTCCTGTGTGTCTTTATAGGAATCCAGTTGGTGGAAGAATTCAGTTGGCTACTGCCATTGTAATCGCTCTCTTCCCATTTCTCTCTTGGGTCTACATATACATAAACAAGGAGATGCGGTCCTCCTGGCCAACTCACTGCAAGACAGTACTTTAACTGAAGCCAAGAATCCCATTATTAAAATGAGTATTGTCAATCAATTTTTTATAAACATGGTTGTAACAAGCCAATTTCCTAGGAACTTCAGGTAATCTCAGCTAATATTAGAGGTAATTAAAAAAAAAATGCCAAGAACTTTCTGAGGATGTCTACGGTACAGCATACAGTTGCATGGAACTGGTAAGAGAGGGGTCTGACATTCGATTGGGTCCCCGTAGAGTAGAAAAGGCCACAGAACAAAAGTGAAGAAATACAAATTCTGACTCAGCTTACCCCTGTCTATATGACTTGGGCAAATATATACACCTCCTGGCGGATATGTCTTCATCTGTAAAACAGGATTAAAACCAGATCTCCTACTTACTTAATACAGTTGCAGGGGATTAAAGTGGATAATATGAGAGCCTCCAAAATTACCAAGTGCTTATAAGGGGCTTACAGGGGATTAAAACAGAAGAAAACAGGGTTTCGGTGGAATGATAGAAACAGAGATTCAAGAGAGGGCTGTGCCCCCGAAATGAACTCATTATACTGGACCCGTGCAGTGCAGTGAGCTCAATGATGCCCAAGGAACGAGCACATCTTGGAAAGAAAGGAGAATTAGGTAGAATAAAGGAATTTGGGACCAGAAGGAAACGGAATATTCACTACATGGTAAATGAGAAGTATGACCAAAATCGATATTTTTTTAAATTTTTTTTTTCAACGTTTATTTATTTTTGGGACAGAGAGAGACAGAGCATGAACGGGCGAGGGGCAGAGAGAGAGGGAGACACAGAATCGGAAACAGGCTCCAGGCTCTGAGCCATCAGCCCAGAGCCCGACGCGGGGCTCGAACTCACGGACTGTGAGATCGTGACCTGGTTGAAGTCGGACGCTTAACCGACTGCGCCACCCAGGCGCCCCAAGATATTTTTTTAAATGAATGTCAAAGGTAACCCTGGGGAGAAGACCATATGGGAGCTGTACTCTCCAACGTGGCGACTTATGTTACCATAACCGTGTGCACACACACACGGACGTGGTAACATGACCGCAGTGCGCACACACACGCGTGACACGGCGACATCACCGCGGTGCATACAAACGTCACGTAACATGCTAACATAACCATAAGATGTAGCACTGAGCACTTGGAATGTGGCTACACTGAGGAAGTAAAATTCTACGTTTTTCACTTGAATTTTATAACATGTCGATTCAGTTATTAGAAAAGTTAGAAATGTGTCTGGAACGCTTGTTTTGAGTGTGTTTGGAACAACACGGTTATGTGAATCTGCTTAATTCCAGTTTTTATATCTAAATATAGATGAAGTATTAACAGTGAAAATGGAGGGGTGCTAGTATAAAACACGCGGGATTTTAAAGACATAGTACAAAAAGAGTATAAAATATTCTCATATTGATTACACGTTGAAATATTTTAGCCATATTTGCATTAATATATCATTAAAATTTGTCATCTGTTTCTAATTACTTTTTGAAGCGTGAATGCTTTTAAATTACTTAAATGGCTCACATCGTATTTCTGTTGGATGGCAATTTTGGGGGGTCAGCATCAAACTCTGGGGTCAAAATACCGTTTCACGACATTTAGGAAGTATTTCACTCAAAAGAATATTAGTACCAATCATGTATCAGGAGAGTGGAAATAAGTCTGTCCATTTGTCTACTTTTAGCCTTTAACACAATATTAAGGATTCTATAAATACTTGTTAAAGGCGGCACGTATGTTTTGTGTTTGGTTTACACGGTGGTCACTGGACAAGCGAAATTCTCTTTTCAAGGTTTAGATGAGGGAAAAGGGAAAAAGAAAATCTTGTCAATTGTAAGCAACTGATGTGAAATTTATTTCAAGGTCAATAAAACACACATAAAGGATTTCAGTGCTCCAGTGCACACTTAGTTCGCATGAGATTGATGGTTTTTACACCTCTTTTGATGTCACTACTAAAGTTACACATGAAGAAATGGATTTGTTTGCAAATCCTGTATAGCATCTATCTATCATCCAAGGAATGCCTGCTTCTGTGCTTAAAAGAAAGTAATGTTCCAGTTTTTTAAAAAAGAAGTGACGTTCAAAATACACTTTCATCGTATCTGCGGCCCCCATATCACTGTGAATTCATCTGTGAATACACGCAGCTCCTTTTAGATCTCTGAGCACAGAAAAACTTCTGGTAGGAGTGCTGCCTTCGGAAAGGCACTGAGATTGTTGTGAACTCTGTTTCTCCGCTGAATTTAAGCAACCTTAACGTTTCTATTATCAGAGCCCCTGCCTTCCCGCCCATCTTTTCTCTTCCCCATCAGCCTCTCCTCCTGCGAGGACTGAGAGGCACCTGTAACCACACTTCCCCAGCTCAGAAACCTGACAAGCTCACTTCTAACTCCGGGCTCATCATTCAAGACTTCACAACACGGCCCTCGCCGGTCCTCTGCCTTCGCTATTTCTTGCCATAACCCCAGGCACCTTTCGGGGAGTCTACACAGCATTATTACTTGCCACTCAACTCAGCGTGCCCTTTAACCTCTGCTGATGCTCTTCTGCCTAACACCCCATCAAGACCCTTTTCCTCCTTCTTCAAGTCCTCCCTAATCCCGTGAAACAAAAGTGAACCACTCCCCCCCCTCCGCATTCCCAGGCCTCTCTTCACACATTTGTATCTATGGATGGTAAAGTCGGTGAATGCAGGGAGCGCATTACAGTCACCCTTCTGGTGGGCCGAATAATGGCCCCCAAAGATCGCCCGGTCCGACCCCCAGAGCCTGGGACTGTTACCTTGCATCACAAAGTACACTGCACACACACGATTAAGTTAAGGGTCTTGAGGTGGGGAGACGATCCTGGATCTGCCAGGGGGTGCCTCCACGTAATCCCAGCCGTCCCGATGAGAGAGAGGGAGGCAGAGGGAGGCTTGAAGAGGCTGCACTGGTGGCTCTGAGAATGGAGGCTCTAGAAGCTGGGATACAGATTCTGCCGCAGAGACCCCCGAGAGGGCGCGGCCCTGACAACAACTTGAGCTTGGCCCAGGGAATGTGGTTTCAGACTTCCGACCTCCAGAAACATCAGATACGCGCAATCTAAGCCACCAACGTGGGGGTAATTTGCCACAGCAGCCACAGAACACGAACACACCCCTCGCCCCCGGAGCCCAGGCGCTCGGCAGGTGCACTCAGGCTGACTAGTATCGGTGTCTTCTCGCTTGATGTTTCTTTAGGCCCTGACTCAAACTTGCTCCAAGCTTCAACGGTCCCGTTCGCCATCTAGTAAATGCTTCCGCAAAGAAACCTTAGCGCGTGGGACAGCCGAGTCAACGTGCCCCATTCGTCTACACGGGGAGCGGAGAGTAAACTCATTCCCCCCTGCAGTCTCACACAGCACTAGCTGCTGCTCAGAGGGGCCACACCAGCAGGTGCACGGCTGTGCCGGCCCTTGATCCCGCTTTACTCAGAATCACGAGGGGACCGCGTGACTTCTCCGGAGGCCTTTCTCACGGCCTCACGTGGAAGGGACCACACATTCACCCGTGAGACAACTTACTTTGTTTACAGGACAGGAGTACAAACCGATAAATGTACAAATATGTTGGATATTCTGAGAAAAAAAAGTCCAAAGCTCATTCACACAGCAGGATACACAGAAAGAGTTTACCTGAGCTTATTTTATTATTACGAACGTTAAGTTACATGGTTAATACATGAATATATCCTCCTTGGTTAAAAAAAAAAAAAAAAAAAAAAAAAAGAAAAAAAGAAAAAAGAAAAAAAAAATTCCAGATCAGGCTAAATGAAGTCTGTCTTGAGGACTCGACCACCCCCCTCAGTCTCTGCCCTGGTTTATTCACGCCGCCTGCATTCATTCTGTGTCCAGTTCTCAGCACCGGATCTTTTATCCAAAAACGACACGTCAGAATATCTCGTGAGCTGACGCGCACCGAGGCCACAGATCCGTTTTGTCGTGCAAAGAGAATACTAAGCAAGGATCCTGAGGGTTTGGGGCGGGGTGGGGGTGGGGGGGGGGAGATGAACAAAAACACAAAGCTCAGCTGTGCTCGCTCTCTCCAAAGGCAAACGAGATGAAACGCAGTGAGCCAGACTAACACCGGAAGGCGTTCTCCCTCTTATAATTCATGATCCTGTCCGGAACCCTGCCCCTCCCTTTCAACATCATCTTGTCAGGGTAGACATAAACGGTGCCAAAAGCCTGGCTGTCCGGCGCCGTCTCTATAACCCCTTCTAGGTTGACGTGGTGCACACCAAAAGGATCCTCGGAGTAGCCACCATCGTGAGTGTGACCGGCGAAGAAACACACGACACACCTGTGGGACCAAATGACGGCCAGCGCGTCTCTGTAATTCCAGGCCAGGCACACACTGTCCGAGGCCTCTGGGTAAATGGGAAGATGGCCTGTTAGTTAAAGAGAAGAAGAGTTATGAGCCGATTAGGAAATGTCTCTTTCATCAAAAGAAATGGCTAAAAGCTAGTACTCACGGGGAAGGAAAAAAAAAAAAAAAAGCACGTTGCTACTTCTTCTAGATGGACTAAGACCAGAGAAAATCCACATACACGAAGAGCTGGCTAATCTACAGCCACATCTGTGCAGCGTAGACACAGGGAGACCGTCCGCATACACGGGGAGAGGCCGAACCCCTGAGCTCCCTACGCCCAGAGCGTCTGAAGACGCACAGACATGGAGAAACCCCGAGGGCGTCCGCAGAAGTCAGGCGGATGCTGTGCTGGAATCCGTCTCGCCGACTTCCTTAGACACGAGCGGCAGAGACGCAGAAAGAGGTACTCCTAAATGTAACAACAGTTCAGGGATGGGTCAACGGGTCATATGTCACTTAGTGCGGTAAAATGGATGCACGCCACTGTAAACACCTCCATGAGATCAAGGCAGTCGGAGCCATTTAACGGATGCAAAAAGTGAGGTAAAGCAGGGACTATTTATCCTAGGTCCCACAGGAGGTGCATGGAGGGACAGCCAGGAGAGTCTCGAATTCCTGAACACAAGTGAGGCCACCCCGTCTGTCAGTCTGCAGCGTGGGCACAACAGCTCACTTGGCTTTGCTTCTTTCCCTTACGTCACTTTCCTTTTCTGTTCCTGTAAACTGTTATTTTTATTCTGACATTTATTCTGAATTTTTGTTCTGTTTTGTTTCTATTTAGTTTGTACTATGGATGATTAATAGCTCCCTAAAGACAGAGCCAAAGGCGTCCAAAGAATTTACGAGTGTGCCCACACACGACACATGCCCACTCCTGAGGCCGTGCTAAGGGCTCAGGGTCCAGAGAGGCCGGGTGACTTTCCAGATCGAGAGACCTGGAAACACGTGACCCAGGGACCGTCTCCCCATCCCTGAGGCCCCAGGCTGCCAGAATCTCACCAGTCCTTCTCTTCTTCCTCCCTGCTCCACGGACGTTTCCACGAATTCTCACTCCCCGCTTCTTCCTGGGAGTGCCTGAACACTCGGTCCCTGGGTCCCTTCTCCACTCGCGCCTGATGCCTTGGCGATCCAGGAATCCACAGTTCCGACCGTCACGGGCACTCTTCCAAGTCCCTCGTGCTTACATCCCGCCCGGACTCCCCACCGTGAATTTCAGACTCAAACACCCAAACTGCTTCCTCAGCATCTCCAGTGAGTCTAGCGGCCTCTGAAACTTCACATTTCCAAACCCCAACTGCTGAATCCTCCGCCCAGAACCCCGTCCTGCTGCGGTGTCCCCACCAGATCTCGGCCACCAGCCGTGCCAGCCTTCCAAGACGCAGGCCAAATGGCCTGTGGGTACCCAAAATCAAAGCGAAGGAGCACAGAAAAACAAAAGCCAAGGGCTATCAGCCATTTTAAACTTTGCCATAGAGAACCTGACGCACTCAGCTGTTAAAGGTTCGTTCATCCGGTTTCTCAGCTTACAGCAACAGGCAGAAACCTAAGAGACGCTAACGGAGACAGGTGCCCTGAAGTAAAAAGACAAGGGGGAAAGGAGGCTGGGGTGGGCTCTAGTCCCTGCCGAAACCACACGCTACCGAAAGAACCACATTGCTTCATTTCTCTGTTTCCTGATCTTTGCAGGTTTGCCGGCACGACCCGTAGGTCCCTTTCCGCGCCAGTGTCCTCGGAAGTGACAGGGCCGGCCTGGCAGCGGGAGGCTGAACAGAGACAAGTCAACAATGAGACCAGCGGGGCGCCTGGGTGGCGCAGTCGGTTAAGCGTCCGACTTCAGCCAGGTCACGATCTCGGGTGGTCCGTGGTTCGGAGCCACTACTGTCGGGCTCCTGGGCTGGCTGGTCAGACCTGGAGCCTGTTTCGATTCTGCATGTCCCCTCTCTCTCTCTCCGTCGCCCGTTCATTGTCTCTCCGTCCCAAAAATAAATAAACGTTAAAAATTTTTTTTTTTAAAAAAAAAAAACAATGAGACCAGCTACTTGAGAGGAGTCAGGATGTCGGCAGTCAGCACAATGACCAGGGCACCTTGTGTCCTCCAAGGACTGGAAGGACACTTGATCTAACGGTAGCCCCAACACCCCTGCCTCCGTCCGATGTGTCCCGGTGCAGGATCACCAAGTGAAAACCACACTTAGAGACATACGTGTTTCTATCGCCAGCTGTCAGAATAGCCCGTCGTTTCCGAGGGGTTTTCGTGTCCATGATTCCATGTGATACGACACTCAGAGAATCGGTCTGAAGGTTCGTTTGCACCGATTAAGCACAGCTCCGCGCAGAAACCGTTGCGAGGCAGCAGCCCGTCCTGGACCCGACACGCGTCTTCCCAGCCAGTCTCGCGATCAATTCTACAGCAGGATGAGCTCCAGACCCCGCCAGACCAAGGACACCAGCCGACAGTCCAAAGTCACGTTCTGTAGTAGTGCGCCACACTTGCACCCTAGGTTCCCTGCAACCTACTGACAGCCTCAGTTCTGTGAAGATGACTCAAGCAGAAGCCATGGTCAATCTTGATCTCCTTGCAATGGCAGCCTGGGCGCGGCTCCCAGGATGTGAAAGTACTCACCGCCAGGTGCGTCTGTCACACCTGACACCCCAACACTCGACAGCCGATGCCTCTATCCAGCGGCCACAGTGCCTGGCCGGCTGAGGTCTGGGGTGGGGGGGTGGGGGGGTCCTGGACTGAATTTTGCACTCAGATGTTACAGTTGACCGTCAACAAAGGTTTGAACTGTGCGGGTCCACTTATACACAGATTTTTACAGGACTGTGAACGTACCTTCTCTTCCTTATGATTCCCTTAATGACATTTTCTTTCCGCTAGCTCACTTATTGTAAGAATACAGTGCAGAATGCACGTAACAGACAAAATATGTGTCAACCAACAGTTTACGTTACCCGTAAGGCTCCCAGCCAACAGGAGGCCACGTGTAGTTTAAGCTTCTAGGGAGTCACAAGTTACACGTGGATTTTCGACTGTGCAGGGGGCGGCACCCCATCCCCTGCGTCGTTCAAGAGTCAACTGTGCTACATAAACCGATCCCCTGTGCTGAAATTCTACTTTGAAACCTAAAAGGCCGACTCCCAGGCACTAACATGTGGCAACATGTTTTTGTTATTTTACAGTTCTTTCCTGGCTCGGCTGTAAACGTCAATCTTATACTCATGTTCTCGGGGGGGGGGGGGGGGGGGGGGAATGGAAGCATTCATTTCACAGCAAGAGGACATCACAACCGAAATACTACCAGTGCACTTTCGACCTAACTCTCCCGTCCTCCACGACGCTGGTGCAATCGAGCAACTGAAATACTTACTCACAATCACCACCTTTTCCTGGTTTGTGTCCGAGAAGGTGAGGACTTCGTTCAACCAGTTCAGCTGCTCTTGGCTGAATCCTCCATTGAACTGGACAAACTGGGGCTCAGACAGTCCTGAAATGAATGAGGTACGTTAGACCGATCAACAGCCAGTTTCCCCCCATTTGGGCCCTCGAACTCGGCTAACGTGGGGACACTTGCACCTTTCCTGAGGAATGCTGGGCAGCGGCTGACTTAAAACGGGGAGCCACAAGGCACAGGGCAAAGTACGGATGAGGTGCACTGCACATGCTCCTCTGCTTCCCTCACTGGCCTCTTCCTGAGTCCTGATGCCCAAGGCCCCCTCTGCCGGGCACCTTCCCATCTGTCCCCCACTCCGTCCCCAACACTCTGCCCACCCTGTGCTTCCCGAGGACGACTCCTTCCAACTGTTCAGGTTTCCGCTTCCATGTTTTTCTCTCTGGAGAGGCCATCTCTGACCACTGAAGCTAAAACAGTATGCGATCCTTTTCCTTAACACTGTATGTGATTTTTCTCAGTAGGATTTATCACCGTGGAAGTAATTTCATTTGTTTCATTTATTCCCGGTCCCGCCCACCGTGTCTCTCGTTTCCTCCACTCAATCCACTAAAAAGAAAGGGGATGCTGTCAGCATGGCTTATGGCTCTGACTAGCTAGCCCTAGAATAAGGGCCTGGCCCAGAAGAGACATTCAGACATCCGTGAAACGCATCTGCAACCAACTGCAACCAATGCACGTGCCATGGGGCTTGTGAGAAATCCTGACCCTGAACGACGGCGACGATATACTTTTACCTTAACCATCCATCTTCCTGCTGAATAAAAGGTGGCTGAAGAATTTAAAGATAATGTATTAGATTCTCAGCTCAAAGGAATAATTCACCTTGAGGACTATTCAATTCCGAGTTTGGATTGTGACCCTTCAGTATCTTCAGACACTGCTGGTATTTTGCAGAGGACTGATCCACGCCCAAGACGCTCAAGTCGTAAGCATCCAGTAAGATGAACCGGAATTGAGGGAACGGTACAAAATGATAAGCATAGTAGTTCTCTGAAGGCACGGTCTCGGGATGGTGCACAATCTGGTCTTCCAGAAACTTTGTGTTAAGTTTAGAATTTGTTAAGTAGTTTCTGCTGAAGTTATAGAACTCGTGGTTCCCCCATGTATGATGAACGGGAACTTTAAGCATCTGGAATGTGTTCATAACAAGTTCCAGCGACTTTTCAGAGGCTTTATACTGCGCGTTATATCCGTCAATGATGTCTCCAAGCTGAAGTACACAGCGGGGCGGGCTGCCTTCTGTATTCCAGTGCTCGATAGCACCTTGTAAGTGGAGCAGACTGTGTCTGTAGTATCGCCGTCTGTTTCCTTGGAAATTATAGCCATCTTCTAAGTCAGCATACTGAATATCTGCTATAACTCCAAAGGAGAAGAGAAATTCTGAAGTCTCACTCAGCGGTCCAGGACTGGGCTTATCATCCATAACCTCCACACGGCTTTCTAAAACAAACAAATAAAACAAAATAAAGTAAAAAAGATATCCACGTTATAAACATCTTAGTCTTCTGAATGGGCTGAAGAGAATGGTGAAGTGAATGTTAAGAGTTAACCTGCCGGGCAGCATGGTAGAGAGAAAAGTGCAGGGGTCTTAAAGTCAAACGGTCTTGGGTCCAAACTAACCGTCTTTGAAACGGTTCCTTTCCCTCATCGTAAAATACATGATCATCTCTATTCTTCACAAGAGTAGCAATTAACAAAAGGGTATTATCCTATCATGAACAGGCATTCTAATTCCAGGAAAGTCAGATTCACATCCGACAGAATTTGTCATTTTACACACAGACACGCGCACAGTACTTTCTTCCACAAAAACCAAAATAATGCTATCAAAATGCCAGAACTCTTTTTTTCAGAAAGTTGTATATTACACTCATTCATTGCACTCGATATGTTAGATTCCCCCTCTAGGTTATTTTTGTGTCAGGCTGAATCTTTTCTTTGGTGGCCACACCACTTGAAGTAACTTTCTCGTATTTTACACCTGGAATAACAGGGGGAGGAAATAAAGGTATGAGAGGAATCATTTTAAACAAACAAAATCCAGCACAAGAGCTGTAATAGTGATGTGACTATCTCCATTTCTGAGAAAACGCTCCTGGTTCTTCAATAGTTGGATTCTAATCTGAACCAGTTTTCAACCTGAGGATTAAGTAGCCTGGCCCCACAACCAAAATGGGAACTACATAATCTTTTCTTCTCACATGTGATCTGTGCCCTCCCTCACTAGCCAAGAACAAGGGATTTAGACCTGAAAACCTATGATTTTATTAGATTGTTTATAACCTAAATTTAGAATCATTTGTAACACCTTAAAAGAGCCAAGAACACTAAAAATTAATAAAAATCAGGGGCGCCGTGTGTGTCTCAAAAGTAAACATTAAATTTTTTTTTTTTTGTAAATCAAAGGCTATGGTCCTAAGTCTATTCTTATTCTTACTGACCATTCGTATTCTAAGTCTATAGTAATAAACTGCGCTGTGATATCTAAGTTTATTAAGGCCTAGTTGTTTCTAAAACAACAAATCCATTTGGAATTTCTAAAATTACTTTCAGACTCCTGGTCCCACCATGGCTACTGGGTCCTTTGAACCATCTACAATAGGTGGAAGTCTTAGCCGACAGATCGCTGCTGTCAGATGTGAAGGGGACCCTCGAAGTCGGCAAAAGGGCGGGACTTCAATGTGGCTTGAGGACGACGGGCCTTTATTCCGAAACTGTCGTTCACGAAGGACACCATTCTACCTGACCCGCCCAGTGGGCGCTTCCGCTACTTTCTTCCTGATTCTGGTTGGTGGAACTGTAGGCCTAACACAGGCAAAGCAGCACTAGAAAGATGGCGATCCTGAAAGCCGGCTCGGTGTCCTTCCACTTTTTTTTTCTTCTCACATGCTCACTGCTTCCTGCCGTCCTCATCCGAAAGTCCCAGGAGCTAGCAAGGCAGTCAACATGTGTGGGGGCTGGGTCAGATCATCTCATTTGAAAGGTGAGGAACTCAGATACAATAAATCCACGACTCCTCCAAATCTGATGGCAATCTGTAGTCATACTGGGTTTCAAATATTTGTGACTCCAAGTGCGGATTAATGGAAGAATCCAACCAGAAGGTAAGTGAGTAAATGTATCCCTGGAGCGTTATTACCAAAGCTTCAGAAGAAACGATTTCTGGGAACGCTGTTCTCCCTTGCCAGAAAAGCCTCTTTGTTTTTGTGTTCACGCTCAGAAGTTTTAAGGTGATAATTGGTATGGTGGATCTCCTAGAGGGAGCTTTTAGTCCCAATTAATTCGATCTTCTCCAGAGACAGCTATCATTTTTGCCTGCCTACCCAGTATTCATTTCCTGTTCTTGTGGTTAACAGCACCCCCGTCTCTTTAGACATCTAAACAAATCCTCACTCTTGGCGCACGTGGTGTGGCCTTCCCTTGCTGGCTGTGGAAGCGTCCCTCTGGTCAGTCAGGGGCAAGCACGTGACCTAGGCCGAGTTAGCCAGCACCAGCTGCGCGCGGGACTGTTGCTGGAGTTACCAGCCCAACTACCAGAACTATGGTGTGAAGCTGACGGCGAAGACTGGAGCTGCTGGGGAAGGCGACCTGAGAAGACCCCCAACCCAGATGGGAGCAGACCGGAATGATGTAAAGAAGTCAAGTTCCTGGAAACATTAGTTGAATGCCTGGACCCACCTGTCCCTGCTTGATCGTTTCGTTCTATCAGCCATTAAATTCTCCTCTCAGTAAAGCCAAACGGAACTGGCTCTAAGGTCCCATCAGATCACCTTCCACTGGAATACAGTTTAGAGAAACTCGAGGGCAAACTAAGATTTGCCAACCTCTTAATGAAAATTAAGCAGTGTGCAGAGAAGCAGCAGGGGCCACAGACTTGGAAACAGTAGCATGTTCTACGGTAGAAAGGAGACGTGTAATGTCAAAGACGTAGAGCTTTTAAAAACAAGGCTGGGGCGCCTGGGTGGCTCAGTCGGCTAAGCATCCGACTCTTGATCCCAGCTCAGGTCTTGATCTCAGGGCGATGAGTTCGAGCCCCGCACTGGGCTCTGCGCTGGGCGTGAAGTCTGCTTAAAAAAAAAGAAAAGAAAAGAAAAGAAAAGAAAAGAAAAGAAAAGAAAAGAAAACAAGGCTAAAGACAGGGGAATACCATTTTATGAAATAAAGAAATTATTTTGAAAAACAGAAATGAAAATTGCTACTGCAATCTGTTAGGAGAAAGGCGTGAAGCAGGGGGTAGGGGCCAGGCCACATGCAGGGAAGGACTGTTAGGGTCAGAGGTGAGTAAGGCGGGTCAAAAAGAAAAACCCCGAGTGGGCAGGGACTGACCCAAGAAACTAATTCGACGTCTTTTACAGTCTGGCCCTACAAGATGCCTGGAGCTCAGAAAGACTGCCCCTGGTGGACAGAGCGATAAAAAGCTCACACGCCTCGGGTGGGGAAACTAGGAATTACTAAACACGCCAAGGGCATGAAAGTGTTTCAGAGTGGGCTCCATGGCCTCCGGCCTCCGCCAGATACACACAGAAGTGGGTGAGTAAAGGGTAACTGCTGAAGTGAGTAATGGGCACGGGAGGTTTACTCTCTCTACTTTTCTGCGTGTTTCTAAATGCCTGTAAGGTTTTTTAAGAGTATTTGTAGAGAAGATCAAGTCTAGACGGATTAGAAGACCTAAGGAAATAATGTGCTCTTGAAAAGAAAGGAAAATCCCAAGTTTCAAGTGGGACTTTGTTCTGAAAGTTTGGACCGCACACCACTATATGTGACATTACCGACGTTTTAGTTACCGGGCAGCAGGATGGCTGCTGAAGGCTCTGGAACTGAAGACCTGGAAGTGAACTGTAGGCCCAGTTTTTCCTGGAGCCAGATAACCCTCATCAGCACTTGTGAGATTCAACTCACTTATAATGCACGGCAATCCACCTTGTAAATCACAAAGTACTGCACGCTGTTTTTTAATTATCTATCAGAAAACATATCTGTCTAGTGAACCTCAAAATAACCAAACTACTGCAGCTTTTTATAGATCAGAATACAGTAGAAAACTCTACCAGGTTTTCAAAAACTTTATTCGTAAATTCCTACAAAAACTCCTTCAAATAGTCATGGTGCATGATACACAGGCAGCATTTTGTGAAAACCTCCTTAGGCATGAAAGATTTTTAAGAACAGGAAGAAACGGGCACCTGGTGGCTCAGTCAATTAAGCATCTGACTTTGGCTCAGGTCATGATCTCACAGTCCACGGGTTCAAGCCCCACGCCAGGCCCTGTGCTGACAGCTCGGAGCCTGGAGCCTGTGCAGATTCTGTGTCTCCCTCTCTCTCTGCCCCTTCCCCACTCGTGCTCTGTCTCTCAAAACTGAATAAACGTTAAAAATTTTTTTAAAAAAAGAAAGGAAAGAAAAAGAGAGAGGAAGACGCCAGTGTGAAAGGGCTACATACCATAGGACTCCAAAGATATGACATTCTGGGAAAGCAGGACCATGGAGACAGTAACGAGATCGGTGGTTGCCAGGGGTCAAAGGGGAAAGAGGGATGAACAGGTGGAGCACAGATTTTAGGGCAGTGAAGCTATTCTGTATGCTACCATATCAGAGAATACCTGTCATTATTTATTTGTCAAAATCCAGGGAATATACAACACCAAGACTGAACCCTAATGCAAACTATAAACACTAATTATGATGTGTCAAGGTGGGCTCATCATTTGTAGCACTCTAGGGACACCTGGGTGGCTCAGTTCATTAAGCATCCGACTTGGGCTCAGGTCATGATCTCATGATTCGTGAGTTCAAGCCCCGCGTCGGGCTCTGTGCTGACAGCTCAGAGCCTAGAGCCTGCTTTGGATTCTGTGTCTCCCTCTCTCTCTCTCTCTGCCCCTCCCCCGCTTGTGTGCACACACGTGCTCTCTCTCTCTCTCTCTCTCTCTCTCAAAAATAAATAAGCATTAAAAATTTTTAAAAAATCAGGAAGAAATATCTCAGAGATGCTTATTTTCTGGAAACTTGCTACAAGATGATACGAATAAAACTTCAGTAATAAGACCGGCAGAAGGGTGAAGCTCCATGTCGAAGTCCCTCAAGCATCTATGATGAACTT